CTTTCTCTCTTCTCGCGCGCTCTTTCTCTTCTCCTCTCTCTCCTCTCTCTCTCTCTCTCTCTCCTCTCTCTCTCTCCTCTTCTCTGTCTCTCGCTCTCGCTTTTTCTCTCTCTCCCTCTCTCTCTCTCTCTCTGGCTCGCTCTCTCTCTCCCTCTCTTTATCCCTCTTCTCTCCCTCTCTTTTCCCCCCTCTCTCTGTCTCTCTTCTCTTTCTCTCACTCCTTTCTTTCTCTTCTCTCTGTCTCTCTTTCCTCCTCTCACTCTTTCTTTCTCTCTCTCTCTCTCACTCTTCTTTCTCTCTCTCTCTCGCTTATCTCTCTCTCCTCCTCTCTCTTCCTCTCTCTCTCTCTCTTCTCTTCTCTCTCTCTCTCTTCTCTCCTCTCTCTTCTCTCTTCGCTTTCCTCTATCTCGGTATATTATGTTATATTATATTATATTGTATACGCTGCAGTTTCTAGGTAAATTTGGTAGGAAGCATTTGCCATTGAACTATTTATTTAGTAGTAGGGTAATATTTATGAGTAATAATAGTATTATTATCAAATGCATCGTAATAAATCATCAATATTCTAGTACATAATTCGAGTATATATTCCTAGCAGCTTACCCTCGTTTTTTCTTCTTGGAAGGAGAGAATTTTTCGGAAACGATTTAACGCGACTTCCTCCCCCAAAGTTGCTACTAAAATTCGTGACTATATTTATTATAACTCCCTGATGCTATTAAAGACGCATTTAAATATGTCTGGAAGAATATTGCGCACACGATACTATCATAAGGAAAGGAGGCGGACAGTTGGTTAACTCCTTGCGAGTAATTCTAACTCTTTCCTAAACTCTATCGAAGTGAAATTAAATGGTCGCGAGCCATCGTAAAATTCTTTACGAAATCGAATTCGTTCTCGACGCGGCAAACACAATTCTCGTAAGCCTTGCTTCTATCTCTGACGCGTATCTGTGACGTCACAGCTGCTTGTTGAGCTACGGAAATCTACTCGCATATAGAGATCTGTGATACACGCACGCGCGCGGGTACGTACGCCCTATAAACAACTATTGTGAGAAGTATCTTGTACGTGTCTGTGACGTCACAGCTGCTTGCTGCGAATAAGCAATCTACTATATATATGTATGAAGAGATCTGTGATACACGCACGCGCGCACACGCACGCCATAAACGATGAATGTGAGAAGTATGCGTTTTATAGTTCTTCGGCGTTATACTATAATTGTAAAACGAACGGGTTATAATTGCACTGGAGACAAACCACCGAGAATACTCGATGCGTTGGTCGCGCGTCGATTCACATTAATCACGTGCTTGTACCAAGTTGAGAACCATATAATACACTCTAAACCTGTATGATAGAGTCATTCGAGAGAAACAACAAAAAGATTGATTGTGCTCGTTCTATAGAGGTGAAGTCACTGTATAACACTCTGTATATATGTAAGGGAAATGCTAAAATTGTCCTTTATATGCAGGTGTCTGTTCTATAGAGGTGGCCTTTATATGCAGGTGTGTGTTCTATAGAGGTGGCGTTACTGTATCGATGTATCTGTATCCTATCTGTATATATGTAAGGGAAATGCTAAAATTGTCCCAGGTGTCTGTTCTGTATAGAGGTCGCCGCTACACCGCTAACACAGGTCAGGGACCTTGTCTGTAGTCTGAAGGTCATGATGCGAGGGAAGGTCTGTCATCGTTGTAACCGTCAGGCACAGTCCCTGTAACCCATGTAACAATTCAAATCCCACAGGCCGTAAATAACTTCGGTAATGAGACGGTGAATAGAAAAAGGGGGGAGGGAAGGTGAATGGGAAGATCTTCACCTCAGCGAGCATTTGAACAGTCGAACGCAGACGCGCCCATGTACGAATAAATCGCCGCCGCGACCGTGCGCAGAGAGAGAGGAGAGAGAGAGAGAGAGAGAGAGAGAGAGATGGAGAGAGAGAGGGAGATGGAGAGAGAGAGAG